CATCGCAGATCCTCCAGAAGGATAGAGATGGAGAGGGCGTGGCTTACCACGATAAACTTTAGTGGATCGTGTTAATGTCATTCATTATAAATGTTTAGCAAATAAATGGATTAAGGGAGGGAATTAGGTAATGTCTCTGGTACTTAATACAAGTGTAAGCTAAAAAGGTACACACATTACACATTACGTGCAGTGGAAAGTTCTGTCAAATAAAAAAGAAAAATGCAGTCATCTTTTGCTGAGGAAAGCAAAGGCATAAGAAGGATTGTATCAAATAAGTCTAGATTTATTATTTCGAATGAGTATTTAATTGTCACAGTTAAAAAATATAAAAGATCACGTGGTGTACCCATATGCATTGCTTCCTGATAATCACTTTTTATTTTCTAAAAATAACGGATCCACTGATAATCGTCAACGGATTATCGAGATTTTTAAACTCCAAAGACCTAATTTCAGATGGCCTGCGGTTGAATCTAATCTACTAATTAAATATAAAGCTCATTGGTTCCCCTTGGTTTACATTTAAAAAAATGGGAAAATTTGTGGCATTGGAAATGAAGTCAAGATACATTTCCATCAATATTATTATCCTCGCAGGTTATGTAAATAAAAATTCAAAATAAAGAGGAGGGAGCTAAGGTTGCCAAACTTATTTTCAATTCAAAGAAAGGACGAATAGGTTTTTCAGGAGTAGTTGTTCTTTGTTGCAAGGCATTAAAATTTAAAAGAAATGTTTAATGTTACAGAGCACAGTTGATCAATTGTTATTTTAATTTGGTCTTTTTGGAATTTCAGACTGTTTCATTCCATTCAATTTACTATTTTTCATCTGTCAATGTGCGCCATGATTAAATAAGTATTATTAATTCTCAAAAATATTTGCTATTGAATATACTAGTATTCAGTAAGTTACTGTAAGTTCATGAGGTTATTAGGAACTCCTCTATTACAAAATGAAATAAACATCTTTTGATTTGGAATCTTTTCAAAAATCAGCTAAAAGTGTGGGAATCGCATGTTTCAGAATTTGACATATCTGTAATTGAACTCTAACTAAAGAATGAATTGTATGTATGACAAATACAGAAAATGCTTTTCAGTGAAAACAAATAAGTGTTAAAAATAGGCATTTTTCATGTAATTGAACATAGCTGAAACAAAACGTATTTTTGCTCAACATTTTATGTATTCTAAAATAGAATGCCTTTATCTGAAGTACGTCAGCATACTTTTTGATCGTTTCGATTGTAAGTAGCGTTGATATCTGGCTCCAAAATTGTGAATTTCGATGAAATTGTCAATGTAACAGGACAACACGCTTTTGAAAACATGTCATATCTCAATTACCCAAATGCGAGTAGGTAGTTACCAGTTTCACCACCAGGTGGCTGATTCGGGTCAATTAACATGGCAGGTATATAAGAAAGTTCCCTTAAACTTCAATATTATCAATTTAAGTGGCTCAATTTTCATGTAACCCTTATGTGTCTGATTCTTATACTAATAAAAATATGTCCAGTAAAGCAAAATATTATCTGTCTACTAAAGGAAAATATATTTCATTTTTTGTGATTTTATAACATGGGGTCTATGGGGAATCTCCCCGAGCTAGAAGTCAGATTTTCAAAGAAAATTAATTTTTCAAAGTTGATAAACACTTTTTAAAACCACATTTCTAGATGTGATTTTACATGTGGATTTCAAATATGATATTACTTTGACTGAATTTTGAAGTTTTAATGACATAAATCAAGATTATTTCTACTCGCATCTGGGTTATTGGTCGCATCTTTTAATTTTGGTTATGCTGGCATAGAGAACATTCATTCAGAGTGTGATGAGAGCACCGGATTTGATCTCCACCTAATACCGAATATATAGACTCAATAAAGTAAATGTAAAATTTATTCTGTGAAAATCGACATGGTCGTTAAAACACACCCACGGGGCATTAGGGGAATCCGAGAAAAATAGGTTATATGTGGTTAGCAAGTCCTTAATTCAGTTTATCAGACCATCGTATTCCAAATCGTGATAATAAATGTGATTGAATTATAATGAGCATTATCTGATAATTTCTGAAAATTCACCATTTTTCTTGTGAAAAACGACCAAGATATAATTCAAACATGGGCAGCATTCTTATGTAAAGATGGACACTGTTCAAGAAAACATTATATCCACTCTATCTTAACGAAAAGATTTTACGAAATAACCAGCACGACCCCATCTATGAGCGAATATGGTGTGAAACTGTGACAATCGACATGCGTGAAAATACCATTGAACTCAAAGCAGTAAATTAGTCATTTGTATAAATCACAGATGGATTAATTTGATTTTATATGATTACCAATACTCTGATAACACATTTTTAACAGTTTTACGGTAATTTACGCATAACGATCAATTGATAGACATTGAAAAGATGACAGCTAAATAGTTTTCTCTTTGTTTAGTGTACCTTTTCCATTTTATACGTCTTTACAAAAATACGTTACATGCAAGCAGATGTGAAGTTATTTGGAACTTCCATAAGCATAATTTACCGAAAAAATTTACTACAAAAATCACTATGAAGACCATTATAGCCCAAACAGTGTCAACCTCTGTAAATAGCGTTTCGTTCAGTGCATTCCCGGGGATTGCTGACTGCAATCATAAAGTCTATTAACGTTTGGAATCAGTTTCCCTTTCAATGAATGCATCATTCTCAATGATGAACAGCATAAACAGGCATCTCTAATTTGTATCATGAAAGATTTTATAGCTTTTCAACGATGTTTATTTGCTTATTACTTTTTAATTACGATCTTGGATCTACTACTCGATACATTATTACGATCTAATGTACAATATTCAGTATCCCTTCGTGAAACGTAATTCTTTGCAAAACATACAAAGAAAAACAAAAAGTAAGCAATGCTCGAGAATAAAAAATCAAAAAATCAAGACATGTGGTGCATAAAATTACGTTCCTCATTGAAAAATATCGCCAATTGAACTAGCATTATAGAAACATAAAGCACAAGATGCGCATGCAACGATAGAGGCAACAAAAGCAAGATGATTTTCCCCTCTTCGAAAAATAAAACCAGGGGTAGATCACTAAAAATATATAGACTTCAAGAGTTTCAAAGAAAAACAAAACATCAGAAGAAACAAGTTTGATAGCGAAAGTTATGAGATGCGAAATCAGAAATTCGAAAAAGGATCGAGTCTGACACGAAAGAAATTTGTTTCTCTAAACCGGAAATTTTAGCGACTAAAACAAAAATCTCAGAATAAACCAAAGCATAGTAATAAAAACACTTCCAGTTGGGTTCTTGGAGAGGGAGGGGGGGGGGTCATCGGCGAAGCGCTCCGCAGATAATGGTGTCAAGAGAAACGTCTCTACACCAGTGCAGATGATTTTTATGATTGAACTATAAGTCATCCTTAATGGACTAGACTCGACATCAATATCATGTTTCAATTGATAACGTAGACTCGACTAGAATAAGGACCGGCTTCTTGATTTGGAATATGTTAAAGGGACATTTCAGATCATATCTCGATAGATGATGTTTGTACTCCAATATGACGTAAATGGTTGTCCTGTTGTGATACATGCAGGAAAAACGTCACTACGTCAACCTGCAACTGGTTTAAGCATGCATTAAAAGCTAAACCCAAAGGAAAAATTACTCAAATTGTAAAAACAAGTCAAAGAACCAAACCTGGTATGTGAGATAAAAAAAGAAAACATATGCCAAGGGTGTCAAAAAATTATTTTGACGACATGGCATATGTCATCCCATTGTCATTCAATCTAAAAATGTAGATCTTGGTTTCATGAATCAGTGCGATGTTTTGGTAAAGTTGGTGTGAAAAGAATGTAGAAAAGGTGTGTTCAGTGCATATAAACTTTGCGGACGTACATGTAATACGTACATGTACTTAGTTTATTCTCTTTGACGATATTTTAGAACAAAATATGAAACACGACAGGGTTTTGACGGAAAATTTTACATAAACGTGGTCATATTTGGATACAAATACACACTGGTAGTTTCTCAGTTCAGCTTGTTATATCCTACATATCAAAAATGTCGATTCATGAAGTTAGCGGTCCCTAAAGTGAACTTTCTAACTCATTGTCATTTGTTTCTAATTGTCTTGTGAAAATCGACATGCGGATGAATAGTGAAATAGCCTAATGATCAATTCTTCCCAAATAAAACTGTTATCATTTTCTTATCGTCTTAAGCATCATTTTTCATGATCGCATCAATTCATGTTTCATTAGAGTCGACTCTTTCAATTTTATTCAAATGAAAAACAAAGGGGAAGTTAAAAATTGAGAAAGACATAGATTTTATTGGTTCATGTTGACAAAGTGTTGCACATGAAAAAGAAAAAACTTGCAGTCCAAATCCATTTGCGATTTTAAAGGACAACTAAGTACCATGAGGAACGTTCTTGGTTTTTTGAAAATGATGCATTCTAATTTGAATAGCTCGACACATTAATCAGGGGGTCAAGGTGTGGAAATTGACATGTTTGAGACGGACCCTAATTTCAATTTGAAAATTCGCCTATTTTTCCTTGGAGTTTACTTTAATGCCTTGGGTAACGAATGTACAAATGTATGAAGATATATACTATATATCTATTTGACAAAAACATTTTAGGATTTTTTTCACTTTTTAACAAAATTAATTTTACACTTAAGCGGTTTTGAGTGTTTTATGTGAGGTACACCGATGAAGGGGGAGGGTTGTGGATAACATAAAAAATCGAACCCCTGGTCACCAATTTCTGGCTACGCCACTGTTGTAGCATTTAAGTAAATAATTAGCAGCACAGTAGACAGAAACATCCATACGTATAGCTAAATTAATCTACAATATAAAATAATAGCACGTACTTTTAAAACATTTTAAATTTTTATTTAACATAAACGGCAAAATACATACTCGTTAGATTACAGTTTGACTATACATAATCAAACAAGTGGAAGGAACAGTTGCCTATTTTACAACATTTGCAATCAATCAATCGGAATTAAAAATACATAATATTACAGCGTGTACAATACATAATCTAGTGGATAAGCAGTTATACCTGCCTTACATTTTCAAAAACTCAGAATTTAATATACAGTCAACTAAAATGTTCTTATCCTGTTTACCAGTGATTATACAATTTTTAAGTCGCATTATTCTCTTGGATGCAGTCCTGGATAGTTAAATGTTGCCAAACAACATTCTATTACTCTCAATACATGGGAAATGCATATCCCATAAATGTTGAACCACTTTGCATTCATAGAAATAATGCATCTGTTTGTTTATAAAAGTTCTGTCAGACGAACTAAAAATGCTAAGACCAGCCATATCTTTAAACCCTTGAAAGATACCCTTTGCATTCGTTCGACTTCGTTTCTTAAAATAGAGCTTTGTCTCGGAAGTTTCTAACTGGACTGCGTATACCCTATACTATATACAGTGGTCGGAAATGTTCCATCTCTTCCTAGCTTCAACGAACTTTCGCTATTATTTTAAACTTTGGTGCCATTAAAGCCATCGGTGTATTTACGAAGGACTTCATGTCAAATGGGATGACCCTTTCTGGGTCGTCGGGGAGGAATACAAATTTGTGTAAGAGCTGGGTGAGTGTCAAGAAAATCCTGACTTTTGCCAATACTTCCCCCATGCAAACGCGACGTCCTGCTCCAAACGCAAGTACTCTAAAAAACAATTTCAGTTTAACTCATTTGGTTTAAGTCAAGTATTTTAAGGCGTGTACTGTAAGTGACTGGGGAGGTCCAGACGGGGGGCTCCATGGGGCGTTTCCATCGACATAAAGAAACGTTAGTTTCATAGAACATGTTTTATTACTGTAAGATAAAGAGATTCTTAAACTAGTATCGAATGGTTTCTAAAGATCATGAAAGGACTTATTTAGATCTCGTAATAACTCTCGTAATCGTGGCCTATTCCATGACATTTGCACATCAATATGTCTTTCAATTGATTAATTCTAAACAAACTGAGTATATATATTTTCGAATATGTACATTACAAATGAAATCAATTGTTGAAATGTTTTAAAATTATATTTACTTTTTTCTTTCTTCTTTTGAAACGAGATTGCCTTCTGAATCGAGGAATCTTCCTGGATTAAACACATTTGGGTCAAGTATAAAGTAACGGCTGTCGTGGTGCATGCCATACAAGTTCATCCAAACCTAAAATATTTGAGTCGTGATTATGTCATGAAGCTTGCATGGTAAATTTATCTAGCATGAAACACGTATTTCATTATATTCGAGCTTGCAATTCAAGGTATGTAAAATCGCGTAAGGGGGACTCAAGGCGTACATCACTACAGATCCGGCCCAATTAAATATATTTGAAAACGAATAAACAGACAGTGATATTATAAAACAAATATTTCATTCTACTTTCGGTAAATACCCGTGTCAAGTTCACAACTTCGGGCTCCGTGGAATATCACTTGTGAAATATGCACAGGTATCGACCTTAATAGAAATATCTAAGTGTCATATTGTTTTAATAAAAGTAAACAGATTACTTGTGTTCCCTTTGGAAGATGACATCCAGATATTTTTGTGTCACGTGTAGTTTTATGAGGAATACCAAGAGGAACCATGGACATGTAACGTAGTGTTTCTAGAATTGCTGCTTCCATATATGGCATCTTCTCACGATCAGATAACGCAGGCTGCATATCGCGTCCTATTACCCGATCAATCTCTTTATGGAGTTTGTCTTGCACATCTGGGTAATTGATCAAGGCTATGAGGAAACCAGATATAGTCGTGAATGTTGTGAAGATTCCTGAATTAAAAGGGCATTGTGTGTATCACAAGAAACAAATAACATGGAAACATGTTCACAATCGAATATTATACATAGAGATTATCCTATATGAGGTTCAGGATATTGGGATTATCCCGAGGCTAATATAATATATTTGCCCGAGGGCCGCAGGTCCCGAGGGAAAATATATTATATTGGCCAAGGGATAATCCCAATATCCTGAACCGACTATAGGATAATATGTTTATCCCATACCAATCTTGGTCATCTGGTTCACATTGTTCAATCGTGGAAATATTTTAGAATATTCATGTCCAGTTTTGTTTTCTTGGCCGTGAGCGGATTTTCCTGTTCTCTCAAATATTCCCACATTTATTTTCTCGAATTTTTGATTGATTAAGTGGATGCTCTTTCCCTTTTTAAACCATCAAACAGATCCCGATTGTCTGTGTTTTCTCCATTGGAGTTTACAGTCATTACGCGAACGTTACAAATTATGAACAAATATGCGATTATGACGTAGCGGGCAGATATACTATATCTGCCCGCTCGGAGTGGGACGTAAAGCTATATCTGCCCGCTGATGAATATATAAGTTTTTACAAACCAGCTTTGTGTACCCGTAACACGTCCAAGTATGGGATAAAAAGCTTTATTCAATGTGTATAATCAAAGAAGAAAAAGTCACGTAGAAAACAGCATTTGAATTTCAGAGATCGTTCGCAGCAAGTAAACACTTCAGCAAGATGTTTTTAAATTACTTTTGATAAAGAGATGCATTTGGCATATGCGGTTGACACATACAGACCAAAAATGAATGACATGTGGGATATGAATATCTTTGTAACATATCTTGTACATCAATCGTCTTTTCATGGTTCTGTTTCTAGTGCTTATTGTTATTATAAAACGTCTTAGCATGTTCCAGATTTGGTACAAAAGATGCATTCTGTTCTCTCTGTTTCATGTGATTGCTTGAGATGAGAATAATGATAGATTCTATTGCCTGAATCAATGACAATACAAGTCGGATAGGGAGATGATTGCGATTGATGATAATTTGTACCAGTTCAAAAAAGTCATGTTTGGTAATATTTGTAACGAAATTTTCGTTATAGACAAGGACACTAAATGTATCGGAACATAAAGTTAAAGTTAAACTGAGTAATAGAGATATATAAGGTTAAATTGTATTACAAACATTCATTTGACTTTCATATAATACAATTAACAAATCAACCTGTACCTGCGTTAAAACTATCTCCTAAAATTCCATAGATAGCTTCATTTGAAATTCTGCCCTCATCCTCAGCTCTCAGTAACTCCCCAAGAATACATCTCTCATATCTTTCTGATTCCTATCAAGGATAAGAATACGTTAATATGTTATGTAAGAGATCTCGCCAAGTGTCTCAAGTGTTTGTATCTTTGGCTTGTCTTGTGTTAGTGCAAATACCCCACTATCTTTGATATTAATATCATCCCGCGCGCTCAGAATCAAGTTAGAAACTACCACCCTGCGCACGGAGTCAAGTTAGAAACTGCCACTCTGCGCGCTCAGAATCTAGTTAGAAACTGCAATCCTGCGTGCTCAGAGTCTAGTTAGAAACTACCGCTCTTCATAATATCACTAGTTTAAAATCAATATCTGATTTTTGAATGAAATAAAACCAGACTATATAATTAGCCTTCAAAACATAACTTGTGACTCCATTGTCCATAAAGTTAAAAACACAGAAAAACACAGATCTTTAGATTAATGACGAAATATGAATGACTAACAACATTACGTGCAGATTTTACGATATAAAATAGCGGGATTTAGAAATAGACTGTGGACTATTCTGTAGAAGTGCTCTAGAAATGCATCCTTCCTTTCATGGACGTCACACATTCCAACATATTTCAAACAACAATCTGTATGACAATGCTGGACACTTTCTGGGTAGTTGGACTTCATGTAGGGGTGGCAGAAGACCCTCGGGCCAATTTATACCCCTACCCCAACAAAACCTTGGGGGTACTTTAATACCACCCAATAAAAAGAATACTAATGCATATCAGATAGTCATTGTTTTATAGTGGGTAGGGCATGCCATGGTTAGTCAGTGCCAGAAATTTCCAATCTCTGACTTATATGGTTACCATGGAAACAGTATTTATATCTCACAATCTTCTCAATTTGACCCCGTCCCAAATGTGTCCTTTAGTTCTCAAAGTGAAATATTTGCAAATCTGTTTGGATTTTGTGGCTGCTACTTTATCAAAAGTTGAATTAACATGTATGTATTCACAATAAAGCGCTAAAAACTTGGTATAATGATCCCATAAATTAATAATATTTATCAAATGTAGTCACACACAACTGCTTTAAGGGAAAAGTGGGCGTGGCATTAAATGAAAAATACATATTACACTAACAACAATTGACATTTAATTAGCATCTACTAACATTGTGTAACATTGTAATATGTTCATTATCGTTATTAGATACTTAAAATATTTTGTGTTATTTTGTTATAAAGTGTTATCATGATACTTCCCTATCATAGGTCACTGGTCCAATTAACTTTTAGTCTTAGACTTTTAGAGGTCCTTAGTCTTTTTAGTTTGTCAAAGTCGTATTCATTGACTTTTACCTAGAATATGAATGGTTCCATTGATCAAGAGCTATGAATTAAAATTGATTAATACATTTGTCAGGGTTAGAGCCATTTTATGCAATTGAAAAGTAATGGACCGTTCCATCCTTTGAGTATGATGTTTTCTCATGCTGGTGTGATTTGCATACTTGTAACAGTTATGACTTGGATTAAGTTATATGAACATTTACAAAACAACCCTTCACTAGTATCTCTCATAATACATCTAAATCATCTTCATATTCATGGCCTTAATCGAGAAGGAGGGAGAGGTTACAAACAGAGGGCAATGAAAATTTGTAACAGAGCAAGGACACTGATCAGTACCAAGCGAAGGTAAAGGCCGTAACCTTCGCATCTAAGATGGCGGACGGTAATTGTTGATTTAGATATTTTTAATTTTCATTGAATTAAACTACTTTAGAGTTGACGTTATACTTTGACATATGTACCAAATCAGGCTGAAATGACATTGGAACTATGGAGTATGATAATTTTTTCATATATCGTGCATGAGCGCCACAGTTCAATGATATCTCACTCCGCGTTAAAAGGGAAGGTAATACTAACTAGTAAAGGGGATGTAGTAAACATAAATAAATGATAGGTGAAATGTAATGCCCTGCCTTAAAGGGGCAATAAGGACTGTAGAGAAAATAGGAAAGTTTTTTCATTTTTTCTGAGCTATCAAGGCAACATTTGGTTTAACATCTTCTTTGACATACCTATTTTCTTAAAATGTATGGATAAATTATCAATTTCAGCATTAAGAAGTGTAAATTCAGTTGAAAGCTTCAAAAAGGGGACTTCCACTTTTATATTTTTAAGATCCACCATGTTTCAAGAGGAATATCAGCTAAAATAATGTTTATCTAGGGGGTTTCTTTGAAGATAATAAAAATAGATGTTAGTCTTGATGAAATATCCAAACTTAAATATATTTTGACACTGGTCCACGATCGTTGAATGGCCCCTCTGCACTAATTATTGCACCTTTAATACATAACTAAGATTTTTTATTTTCTCGGACAAATTGTGTCTCACAATTGACTAACTGATTCTATTATCAATACATCAACATCAGGTAATGCATGATCTATCCAATGGATTAAAGATAATACTTGATTCTAATATGGCAAAATAAATCATTCCATGTATGAATAGACTAGATGCGAGTAGAAATAATCTTGATTTACGTCATCAAAAATTCTAACCTCAGTCAAACTGATGTCATATTTGGAATCTACATGTAGAATTACATCTAGAAATGTGGTTTTGAAAAGAGTTTATCAACTTTGAAAATTTAATTTTCTTGGAAAATGGGACTTCTAGGTCGGGGGGATTCCCCATAGAGCCCATGTTGTAAAATCACAAAAAGTGAAATATCTTTTCTTGTGTTGGGCAGATAATATTTTCTTTTACTGGGCATATTTTAATTTGTATAACTATCAGAAACAAAAGGGTAATATGAAAGGTGAACCACTAAAACTGATGAATATTCAAGTTTAAGGGAATTTTGTAATACCTTGCCATGTTATTTCCCCCGACTCAGCCTCCTGGTGGCGAAACTGGTAACTACCTACTCGCATCTGAGTAATTGCATAGTGCATCATTTTGCAGATATTATATGATGCATTCATTGACTCATGGTTAACAAGGTACGGGTATAACTCCTTTTAGTATTTCGCAAAATGAGCCTGGCCATGTGAAAACAGGTCTTATCACAAAAATTAAAATTGTGCTACAGAGCCAAAAATGTGCTCAAGATTAAGATCAAAATATTGAAAACTATGTGATAAGACCCCTTTTCCTGTGGCCTGGCTCAAATAATGAAATATAAACAATTTACACATTTCTAAAATGCTGTACCTTCAGTGATTCCTACAATTATGGATAGTGGTTTGTTATGTTAAAACTTAAAATAATATCTTAACAAATCTGTTTAGTGTATAAGAACAATATAAGTAAATATGTTTAATATTAATTATTATTAGACATATGAATATTACCTAAAATAAGAAATCTTGTTATCGTATTCCATTTTAAAATTGGTTGAATGATTTTTGCACAGTAGAAATGATGACGGTCATAATTTATAACATATACCTAAGTAACTTAATATTATACGTAATATGCCCTGATGATGTAACATAAATGGTCCTTTATAATCAGGTATGACTGAAATTGGACAAGATCTTATAAGGTTACAGTTTCCATATAACGTATGTTCCATATTACTATCCCAAATCTCCATACCAGTAGTTAAGTTTATGAGTCATAATCCTTCATAGTTTATGATGGCAAATACCTATCCTTGCCTAGAATATGTCATTTTATCAATTTTATGAAATGATTGTTACATAAACAAGTATACAATTACATACCCCCGCCCCTCCCACATTAAAACTCCATTTTCTTTATCAATCTTTCTACTTCTGGTAATATTCTCTGTCCAGATTCCCCAATTCTACATACTGTCAAGTAAACATCTAAATAGGATAGTTCTAGCTATTGCTGTTGTTTTGAAATGTTGACTTTTCTTCGGGAAATTTTTTTTCAATTCTGACAGAAGTTTTTTAGCCAATATCATTCAATTTATCAATATCCAAAAGCAGAGTTTCGAAATGCACTTTGTTTGTGCCTGTATTTTCATATTTTTTAAGAGAATCAGAATCTTATTCTACAAAACGGGTGTTCATGGAAGTAGCACTAATTATTACATCATTGCTATAAATCATGTGATTTGATTGGCTAATTCAGTACCATGTGACTAAAAATACCATAGGGTATTTCACAGCTCTCTGAATTATTGGCATAGAAAATATGTATTGCCCTGCGTATTGTCTGCCTGGGGATTCTGACAACTGCACTTTCAATGATTTTTGCAATATGTATTGCCCGCAGCGTGTAGGTGAACGGGTATTGCCCTCCATAGAATGAAATACTTGCTTAATATTTATTACTGTTCCGGGCTAAATATCAATTTTGTAACAAACTGAACAAAACGCCACCTTTAACATGCAGCTAATTCTCCCATCTAACCCACAGAGCCTCTTTTAACATATCAAAATTTAAAAATTGCCACTGATTCAATTTATAATTATTCAATCAAATCTAAACTGGTAATACCTTTTTACTGCTTCGAACTTCCTTATATTTTATACCATAGGAGTAGGATGTTTGTCTCTTTCAATTGATGCTTTCACCAGAAACATGGATATCACTCATTTTGATTCATATTTAAAATGGTATGCATGATATATGTGTATTTTATACCAAATAGAGACACTTCCCTGGAGAGTTCTAAATCGCTCTATGTAAACAGCCTAGTTTCCCACATCCTTTGTTGACTTTGCTCCCATATTTCCTTTGAAGCTGTGAAACAGTTCTCTTGTTCTGCATAATATTCCATTTTACTGTAAATCAATGAATAAGGCCAATTCATATCACTGGCTTCCCTAGGTCATTTAAATGCCTTGCAATTTTTAAATCAGCAATAAAGAATAATGGGTTAAATTATCAAATAATGAAAAAGTTGCAAATGATGAGATTTGCTATATAGCTTTGAAATCTTGCTGAAGTATAGTTTAACTATAGGTTAACAGGCTAATTCCTCATTGACATAATTTTAAAGAATCTTAAACATTGACTTATTGTTTCAGTGGTCCTTTTAAAGTTCATATATACCCAATCTGAACAACATCCAGTCTCAAACACAATCTGATTATCATCAAGTTCAACAATGATTTCTTAAAAATATTTCATTTTGCCATAGATTGTTTTTGTCTATTTCCAGATGGACGTAATGTAATTTGGCCAGTCTGTCAGCATGATAATATTACTAGAATTATTGAATTAATAAATGGCAACAAAATAGAATGTATAATAATAATTGCAATTTGTTTTATTGTTGTATAAAGCTTATGAAATGTAAATAAATAAATTATACAAAAAAAGGAAGGTTCATGATAACACTTACATAAAATATCTTAAGTATCTAATAATGATAATGAACATATTACAATGTTACACAATGTTAGTAGATGATAATTAAATGTCAATTGTTGTTAGTGTAATATGTATTTTTCGCTTAATGCTGCAACAATTACGCAAGTACTAAAAAGTGCCACGCCCACTTTTCCCTAAATGTAGTTGTGTGTGACTATATTTGATAAATATTATTGATTTATTGGAGCATTATATCAACTCTTTAGTGCTTTAGTGTGAATATACTGTATACATATTTATACAACTTTTGACAAAGTGGTAGCCACAAATTCCGAACAAATTGCAAATGTTTCACTTTGAGAGCGAAGGGACATATTTGGGAGGAGGTCAAATTGAGAAGATTTTGAGATATAAATACTGTTTCCATGGTAACCATATAAGTTAGAAATTGGAAATTTCTGACACTAACTAACCATGGTATGCCCTACCTACTATAAAACTATGAATGTATGACGTGCATTACTATTCCTTTTATTAGGTGGTATTAAAGTGCCCCCGAGGTTTTCTTGGGGTGGGGGTATTATTTGGCCTGGGGGCCTTCTGCCACCCCTTCATGAAGTCCAACTACCCAGAAAGTGCCCAGCATAATCATACAGACTGTTTGAAATATGTTGGAATGTATGACTTTCCATGAAAGGAAGAAGTTACAATTATCAGAGTAGTCCACAGTCTAAAACGCATTGAATGATACGGGGTGTCCAAAAAAACAGGACCGTAAGAAAGTTGAATAACTCGGTCAATTTCCTTGAAATTTTGGAATTATTTAGTTTATTCAATTCGAATTTTGTTCTGAAAGTTTGATGATAATCTGTTTATTTTGTCAAAAACTACTGTACTTTACAAAACATGCTTAAAGTGGCCACTTCTCCTCTCTATGCACAAACGAATCCTGCGAACAAAGTTGTTAATGACCCTGACCTATAGACATTAATGTTGATGGTAAATATTGGGGTAGTGATTGCCCTCTTAACATTGTTAGGGGCCTGCCAGTATACATATTGGCTTTGAGAAATCCTCAAAGATAAAAAAGTGGGGGATTTAGATCTGGCGAATGAATATGGCGAATGAATATGGTTTCCGTTCTGCAACTAATCAGCTGACCACCGAAGCATTGCCTAAACCATTTCAGCATATCATTTGCAGTGTTGGGGTGGTATTGGCTTGATGAAACCACTGCTTATTTCCCTTCTGGTGCTTAAGTGCCCTCTAAAACTTAGTGAACAACTTACTGGTCCTTGTTCATGGTGATAGCACGTCCCCAGTCACCTTCGAACCAAAAAGGACTGATGATTCCATGTTTCCTCATTGCCACCCAGGCAGTGCATTGTTCAGAATGCAATGGATGCTGTAACTCTTCACCAGGAGGATGTAAGCCCCAGTAGCAATTGTTCTTGGAACAAACTTGTCTATTCAGAAAGACATGTGTGTAGGAGGATCATCGACAACTTTGTTCGCCAGATTGAATTGTTCATAGAGAGGAGAGGAGAGCTGTTGTTTTTGACTCAATTGGTAGATTATTATCAAACTTTCACAACTAAATTCACATTGAATGAACTAAATAATTATGAAATTCCAAGGCAAAATATGCAAAATTGACCGAGTTATTCAACTTTCTTACGGTCCTGTTTTTTTGGACACCCTGTAATAATAGATGACAAATATTTTACAAAACGTTTACAGAATAATACACGAGTGTGCAAGCACCTTGGCGTAAAATAATTTATAATCCAAATTGCGATTTGTCAACAAAAAAAACATAGACTCACATATCAGGTTAGCTCAAGTCTTAAATGTTGACTATGAAGATGAGTAAACAAAAACATCAACAATAACTATACTATGATTCCCACGAATCGATTTCTTTGACCCTCATTGATCTAAACCACACAATACGAGTCTATATATACTTGTTTGATTGCATTTTTGGTTCATCAAGCGCAGGATATTTTAGGATGCATTTGCAAATTGCATTTAAAATTCGCATGGGAATGAAAATGGGTCTTAAAATTTGACACTCGTGATTACTGGAAATAGCATGTTGTCTGAAAACAAGTATTGTATAATGCAATCAAAAAAATCTTGCGTCCAGACAATGCCCCCCCCCCCCCCTCTATTTCACCCATGATTCATCCACTCATGGCGGGGCTTGTAGCTAGACTATCATCATTAGTAAATTTGAATTTTTACTGGTTATAGCATTCATAACAATAGCAATTATCCTTTCAATAGCTTTAGCTTATAAAAAGAAGGGGATTCATCGTAATTCGTAATTCACGTTCATGCTTTGTTGAATACGCGTCTGTAAATTGCACCAATATGATAATCTCATGTAAAAACCTATTATGACGTGCACGGACCTGAGGACAATTCGGGAAATGCGGGGTAATCTCTTAATGCGCGTTAATCTCTGCCTTATTTGAAAAGCTAACTATGCGTTTTATATATTATTTTGAAGTATTTTTTATTCGTATTCCAGTGAAAATTTTTTTCTTTGAAAAGTTTGATGGGATCTACCAAATTTTTAAAGTTAAATGTATAAAGATCAGAATCCCACTAAAATTTCAAATTTTATTCAATGGAACGTGTGCATTTATGACGTCACAAT